TCCTAATTTTTAAAAAGTAAAGCACTTAAACACATTCCTAATTTTTCTTAACTAATTTAGAAGAAAATAACCATAAACTTCAAATTTTTCATTTGTTTTCTTCTTTGTTACGTGGTATAATCCAGAGTAGTACTTGACCATAGATTTTGTTAGAGCCCATATACGTCATTGTTTTTGTAATTTGCCTATTCTAGATGTTCCCAATAGAGTAGAAACATATTCAAGCCAGCTACTGGAAGATGGGTTTTTAGTATATACAGCGTTCCCAATTTCTTATGCTGAGGGTGAAATCATCAATAAAGAAATAGGAAGAAATCAACAAAAAATCAATGACTTGGTAGGTTGGCATCCAATAAATTTTATGAATCAAGAAATTTTAATGGAAACGGCACTGGCTGTTCCCTCAGTGTTCCAACGTGGGCGATCCAACGTGGGCCTGGACCGACATGGTTTTGCCCATAGAACTGCCCAGAGGTTGCTTTGCTCCTGAAGTAGGATAACCGTAGCCTTGGTTTTATCAAACCACTCTTCCAATCTATGGGCACAGTCTTTGTTTGAGTTAAGAACAGCTCCAAAATCCTGTGGGCCGCCATATATTAGAACTAAAACATTGTACCACAATTATTTTTAAAAATGTATCTTCCTATTTAAACTGTATTATGCTTCGATCCCATGTTCCTGTCCAATGGTTACTATTAATTAGTGCAAATTAATTTTTGTGAATTGTATCTTCCTTTTTTCTAGTCTTTATATGCCTAAAATATATCCCAATTACTCTTGTTTTTTTTTTTTTAAAAAAAAAAAATATGTTATGCTTTAAAATATTAATTAATAAATTAAAAATGATTGAGGATCCCTTACAATGGGAGAGGGTTTCTTTTTTTAATCGTTGGTGTTTTTGTATCCTGGAACTTTAAAAGACTAGATTGTTATTTATTTTGGTTCGGATTTTTCGGAAATGAAAATTTGGTAATGTATTATAATATATTTTTATAGTATCAACCGGTTAGTTACATATCCTTTCCAAAAAAAAAAGAAAAAGGAAAGGTAGTCATATCAATTCACAAATTTATATCAAATTAAAAAAATTAATCAAAATTAAAGAACGTGATATACTTGAAATTATAAGATTTTATTATTGATAAATATTATCAAAAATATCAATTTTCATTTTTCTTACTGTAAAAAAAAAGAGATTCCTATTAAAAAGTAAAAACAATTACTTCAAAATCTTTGATTCTATATTATGACACTATAAATAAAATTGAAGCCTAACCTATTATATTAGTTATAAATTTAAATAATATTAATGATAAATTTAAATAATTAAATATAAAAAATCATTAATGATTAAAATTAAAAGGAATTGCCATAAAAGTAAAGATGAAATTAAAAAAATTATTCTATTAAGTGGTCAAAATTTTTAAAAAATCCCACTAAAATTACTAGTTTCTAAAACAATAAATAACCCAACAGACGACAATCTCCATCGACTCATTCCTAACCTATAGAAATCCTAATCTCGCATTCACCTGCCACCTATGTATAATTGCCTACAATTGCCACCTTCAATTTGACATCAAAAACTTTATCTAAGAAAATGGTTATTAGCTCAGATTGCATATAAAAATAAAAAAAAGTAAAATATAGTTATTTATTATTTTCTTCATTCATTTTTAGTAATTTAATTTGATTTTTTAATATTTTAGACATGAACTTTAAATAAAAATTTAATATATTATATTTAAAATAATTAAAATTTTTTATTAAATAAAAATACTTAACAAAAATTACATATAAAAAATTTTTAATTGTTATTAATTATTAAATTTTTATTTAAAATTTATATTCAAAAATTTAAAAATTAAATTAAAATTACTAAAAATAAACAAAAAATAATATTTAAATACTTACACAACCCAAACAGCTTACGATCAAACTAAAATAAATATTTCTGTTATTTCAAACAGCTAATTATTAACAGTATTCAAAAACGTGTATTGAATGGACCAAAAACAAGTCTTTGCCTAAAAAAAAAAAAAAACACAGAATGGACCCAAAACAGAGTTGGAAGTGGATGAACTTATCATTTTAATAAAGAATGGGCAGCGTTGTCAGCAATCTACAGGATTCTCGCCTTGCCACGTCACCCTAAATATCCTTATCCAGACGCAGATCATCCTCATATGAGTTCTACCCAATTGTGTCATGTGAATGTGCTTCTGAGATGCTATGACCCGTTCACGTTTTGGCAACCATTTAATGCTAGCGAACTCAACATCTTCGCACTTGGTTTTGTTTGTTCTAACAATGTAGGAAAAGATTTTTTTTTTTTTTCCCTTGTATTTTGATTCTTTTTTAATAGAAATTCATTTCAAAATTTAAAATTAATTCTTCAATGCTTTGTCAAACAAACAATCGTTAATTGGGGTTTAACTCAAAACTTCAGATATTGCATCTCCTAATTTCACCTGTTTACACATCATAATATCCATTTAATTAAGATTTACTTTAAGCACTCAAAAAAAAAAATTATTTTTAAAAGTAAAAATCCGAACAAACTACAGTAATTACTAAATCGACAAGGCGACGCTTAGTGATCATAACCTTTTATAATAATAATAATTTGTGCTAGTATAACAAGGGAATTACATTCAATGTGATGATTCAACCATGAAGAAGTTAAAATTTTAAATTGAAAATTAAAAATTTAAATTTTGAATTGGGTGAAAAAAATTTTGAAAAAATGATTATTCACTTTTGAATAACTTGTTATTATTAGATGTATAAAAAAAATAATTAAGCTATTACTTTTGGTCTTTTTTAGTTCTCTTAATTTTTTAATTTTATGTAAATTAATTTAATAATTTTATATAATAAATGAAATAATTGAAAAAAATTTTAAATTTAAATGAAAATACCAAAAAAACTATGTATGAAAAGTAAAAAATTTCCAGTTATCTTCTATTTATTATATAAAATTATCTAATCAAATTTTAATTAAAAATCAAATGAAACCAATTAGATCTCACCGAAAGTAATATAAAACATACAGTAAACATTTGAATTAATTTGTAGTTAACTTTTATGGAGTTAATTAATTTTGGGTGGTATTATAAAGATAATTTTTTTTACCATTTTTTGATACAATTTTCATATATTATTAAATGAGTTGATACATTTAATATCGTGGGGCATATATAAATAAAAAAAACTAATCACTTAAAAGGCACGTCAAGTTATATAAAAATATGGTGCAAAAAAATTATTCCAAAATCATTTCCCATTAATTATAGAGTTTTCAAAAACCATTTTAGCTTTAATAGTATACATTAGATAGTTTAAATTATAAAAACAATTATTATTAGTAGTTAAATATTCAATTATTAACTATTAACCATATTTGGATAGTTAATTCAAACCCTTCAAAATGATTAAAAAAAAACTAGAAACGATTTTTTTTTCCCATCAAGCAGAAAACCGTTTGGATGATGATAAACACAAAATTTTAGAAACAGCAACCCTAACTACCCAACACAGCATTGTTCCTAAAATATAGTAAATCCAACAGAACATGGCAACTAAACCCTATAAAATAGCCCTAATTAATCTTACTGCCACTGAATTTGCACGTCAGACACTGCTCAAATCTGGCTGTCAATTATCCAAAATGGTAAAGAGGGAAGATTCCTACGAAAAATAATTTGTTGGATAAGATTAAATCCAAATCAAGAAGACGCCACTTGCTTTCTTTCCATTGTTCCCCATAATTTATCCATGTTCTTCTTCTTTATAGCTCTGAAAGAACAACAAAACAAACCCATTTTGTCTCTCTCTTCCAGCTACCAGCATTAGTCGAAAAAGAACACCCATTTTTGTTCAAGTTCTGCACTTTTCTTTGATTGAGAATCGATAAGTGGAGCTTTGTGTTTTTGTTCTTCGAGGGTTTTAAATTTTAAGGTTGTTTTTGCAAGGGATTTTCTTTCTCCCATTCCCTTACCATTCATGTTCAGAAATTGAGTTTTTGACCCAGAAAGAATCGAGGGTATTGGTGGGTTTTTGTTGTGTTCGTCTTTTATGCTATTAGATTTCAGAGAACTCTCAAAAAAATAGCCATGGCCTGTTCTTTGAATTGGGGTTGTTATGTTTCTGGGTTGAATGAAACCGTGTTTAACTCTAACTCAAAATATACAAGGGTCCCTGCGTTTCATGCATCCTTTGGTTCTTTACAATTTATGGAATCAAAATCAAGGGATTTTCCTGCTTTGAGCCATGTGGACAAACAGTTGGCTTTTCCAGATCAGAGAGGTTCAAGAGAATGGGGTTCCAGAGCTGCAAACAATTTCTCTGCTCAGGTTGATGAAAATTTTCCATCTTTGTTACTTATTTTGGCTTTTGGAGTTTGGTTATTGCGTTTCAGAAACTGATTTTATCCTCTGATTTTAGGGGCAATCAATCTGTACGAGCAGAAGTCTGAGATGGTGGGAGAAGAACCTTAAACCCAACATGGTAGAGATCCACTCAACACAAGAGCTTGTGGAATCCTTGCTTTGTGCTGATGATAAATTGGTCATTATTGATTTCTATTCACCTGGTTGTGGAGGCTGCAAAGCCCTCCATCCCAAGGTATTGTTTGGCTTTTGCAATTTGATTTTAGCAATTTGGGTGCATGTTTTCTTTTGCAGTAGCTAATTAAGAAATTATATCTTGAAACGTCAAAGTGCTAATAATTCTGATGAAAGAATAGGACCTTGAATTCAGAGTTCATGTTTTTCCTATAGAAGATCCCTTCCAAATCCAGAGCTTTAACTAAAAGGGTGAATAGCGTGAAAATTGATATCAACTCTTTCAAGTTAGCTGTCGTTGTGTTTTTGTTGAGATATTATTTTCTAATTGTTTGTTATGCTACATCAGATCTGTCAGCTGGCTGAACTGAACCCGGATGCGATTTTTCTAGAAGTAAATTATGAACAGCTACATACCATGTGTCAATGCCTCAACATTCATGTCCTACCATTCTTTAGATTCTATAGAGGCTCTGAGGGGCGTATATGCAGCTTTAGCTGCACCAATGCAACTGTAAGTATATATTCCATTGAAAAAGCACTTTTGTCTAATATGTCATGTTCTGTTTAGAACATTGTAATCCCATAACATTTTGTTTTTCACAGATCAAAAAATTCAAAGATGCATTGGCAAGGTATGGAGCACAGCGATGTAGCCTTGGCCCTGCAAAAGGTTTGGATGAATCTGAGCTCACAAAACTGGCATCAGCCGGTGAATTATCATCCAATTTTCAGCTAACTTCCACAAAGGCAGAAAGAGTGGAAGATTTATTCCTGCAAAGCGTAGATCTGTCTATTGTTTTGAACAAAGCTGACAATACAGTGGAGCTTAAAGAAGAGAGTGTTCTATTGTAGATTTATAGGCTTGAATGATGTCACCGAGCTTATTATTTACAGTAGTAATGGAGTAAAGCTGCTCCACCAAACTTCATATTGCTACCCTTTTATGTTTTGGTTTTTTCTTTGTGTTATATATGTCAGTTTCTGGGTTTTCAAAAGCAGGCTCCTGGTTTTTTTGAGTTGAGCTCTGCATGCTTGATTTTAATTTCTGGATTGGAGATTGTACTTTTCTTAAGGAAACTAAGTAGATATATTAAAAAGTATCTTGATGTGTTTTTATGTTAAAATTTTCGTTAAATTCATGGTCTTTGAATGCCGGTAAAATGCTCTATGAATGGCTGAGATTAAGCAACTTAGGCGTCCCAGATTTTTTAAAGAACTCAAAAGCTGTGTAATTCTTTGGGAAGAAGCAGCATTTCCCAGTTTTAGAAGAAACAGGTTAAAAGACAGCATTTCAATGATTTACTACACGTTGAAGTTTCGATCGATTCAAAAAGTACTCAGCTATGCTTTGCAGGAGGTGTTTGCCCTTGTAATATTCAAATGACAAATTAAGAAAAAGAAGTGGTGATGCAATTGGATCTAAATATAAGATCTGTATCTAAACTATATTAGTTGAAAATAGATGAAATAGTTCATTTCATATTTAAATTTTTTTATTTGAAATTTTTTCACTTAAATAAGTTATTACAGGGATCTAAGTCTTTTTTTTTTTTTTTTTTTGAATGTGCTTTTTGCACGTGTGGGACTATATGATATTCAAATCTTATTTCAAACCTTGTATAAGCTTTGGTATTTGTCATGTTGATCTCAAGTCTTGACAAGCTTCTAAAGGATACAAAGCGAAAATACATGAGTCCGGAACTCAAGGAAAAAACAAAAACATTTTGGTATAGATTATATTTGGATTTTTTAGGATGGTCATTTTGGAATTTTGCAAATTTTAGATCAAAATTAAGGGATTAACATTGTTTTGATAAAAATGCCGAACATATTTATCAATAGAACAAAATTGCAACACCAAACTTCATAACAATGGCACGCACTTGTAAGATTATATTAATGACATATTATCATATAATTACAAATCACCTGTCAATCCAAGCGAAAAAAATTCATTTTTTTAAAAATAAAATTTTAAATTCAAATCTTGTAAATAAAAAAAAATGTACTAAAAGAGCTTCCCTTATATGGAATTTGATTTTATTGACTCTAAATTAGATTAGATCTAATGTAATTTTTAAATACTAGAGGTTTAGCACAAAAATTTATATGATTAGTTTTTTATATTTAAAATTAATGTATAAATTAATAAATATCAATTTATTTAATATTATATTAAGAGAAAAGTATATATAAGTTCTCGACTCATAAAAATAATTAGGTTTTAATCCTAAATTAAATCATTTTATTTAATTAAAACTCAATTCAAAATTTAAAAATTTATCTTATTAAATATTGATATGATATAATTAGTTTTTAAAAATAAATATCAACATTTAATAAAATGAAATTTTAATTTTTAAATATAAATTAAAACTCTAATTATTTTTTAAAATCAAAATTGATACACACTAATTTTTTTATATTATTATAAATTTATAATATTTTAAGTGATGTTTATATTATTATAAATTTATAATATTTTAAGTGATGTTACGTGATATTATAAATATATCATCTTTAATTTATCAATAGACATTTATTTCTAGTTGTTTTCTATCCATAACCTTTCTTCCTGTCGCACAAGTGTCCAACCTGAATTTGTAGTTGCAGACTTCACTTATTTTAACCGTTGGAGATATCATTTTTTAAGTTCTCCACTTCCTGGCGTTGACGAGGATTCCTCACATTCTGAATGAGCACAGGACCCACAATAGCAATCCCAGTCCAAGTACTTTACAACAAATTAATTTTTTTTAACTCCCTTGTTTTAAGGTTTATAAGGTTTATAACCGTTGTATCAAAGCAAATTCTCCGTCCATGCAATTATTTTAGTTATATAATCTATGTAATTTAAATTATATAATATTTTTTAATTAAAAAAATTTTAATAAAGAATATTTAATAAAGTTTTATAAAATAAAAAAAAATAAAAATTAAGATATTTTAATATTATTTAAATATTTTTAATTGATCTCTTTTCTTATATTAATTTAATAATAACATTTTAATATTTTTATTATTGTTTCTAATATTGTAATTGTTAAAACGTGTTGGTTTTTCTAAACCTTTTTATGAAATGTAATAACTCACTTAAAACTAATAATTTTTTTTTTTTTGATAATAGACAATGTAAAACTTATAAAAATTGAGTGTTAAAGCTTATGTCATTTATCGAATGAGCTAAGTTTGAGTTTAAACTAATAATTTTGTTTTTTTGAAAATAGACAATGTAAAACTTATAAAAATTGAGTATTAAAGCTTATGTCATTTATGGAATGAGCTAAGTTTGAGTTTACTTAGCTCCTCCTCTTCTTCTTCTTCTTCTTATGGTGTAGGGACAAACATCAATGGTCAAAGCTCATCTTCTTCTTCTTATTGGATCGAATAAAACTATCAACTATTAATTTAAAGCTGCTATACCAACTACAACTGAAGACTTGTTTCAAGGCCAAACGCTAGGTGAATTGAGAGGGGCATCAAAATAAAGTAAAACAGAGGAGAAGCCCCAGCATCTATAAATGCACATCCAAAGACCATAAACTTGCCGCAAGGATCCTTTTCGCTATCACCAGAAAAATCATATCCATCATTTTAGGACAAATCAATGACTTGGATGATCAGATTATCCTTCGTTGGGAGTTCATTGAATGTAAAGTTGAGGAATACAACAGTCTTAATAACTTCTCAACTATTATTATGCCTCACACCACGATACAGGTGGGTTGGACTGCTCCTCCAACTGGTTATATTAAGCTAAATATTGATGGTTCATCACTGGGCAATCCAAGTAGTTCCGGCTTTGGTGGTTTGTTTTAGGGATGAGCTTGGCAGATGGATTTTAGGATTTTCTCAGCGTATTGGGTTTACTTCTAGTCTTGCTGCCGAACTCTGGGCAATCCGTGACGGACTTGTCATTGCAATTGATGGGGGATTCAATAGACTTATACTGGAATCTGATTCTAGGATCGCTAAGCTATTGATTGATGACAGTAACTGTGAATTTCACTCATTGGGCACTTTAATTTCTAATTGCAGGATGTTGTTGGACCAAATCCCAGACTTGTAGTTCAGTAATATCTTCAGGGAGCCTAATGCTGTAGCAGACTATCTAGCTAAGGAAGGTGCAAAATTCTCTAACTTTTTTTGACGTTTTCAACCAATGCCCTACTGCACTTGGTTGCATTTTGTATGTTATTATTATTACCTTTTTTTGGCGTTAAAACCCCTAGTATCCGTTAGTCATATTAGATTTCAATTAATTTAGTGTTAAATTGGATTGAACCTTATGAAAGAAAACCTCTTCTAACATATGTTTTTCTATTGACAAGACTCAAACTTAAAACTTTATTTAAAGGAACCGAGTTATTTTTACTTGAACCAACAAGTAATTGCATTTTGTATGTTGATGCTATAGGGAATGTCTTTCCCAGAACATCTGTACCTCTCTAATTTGATATAATATATGCTATTGGGAGAGGCATTTGGGCATGAGTCTCCAAGCAAAGACACTAACCTTTGAAGGAAAGGAGCGAGTCCAAATTAGATTGTAAGCATCGGTGTCCAAGTATGGGCTAGAAAGTAGAAACATTGGGGAAGCAATAAGCCCTTTTTGCCAAGAAGCCTGGTGCGTTATATATGTATGCTGCCAAGTGATTCGATAACGGGAAGGTCATTTGGAAGCTGGATGCCTGGAAGTAGTTCCAGGTGATGAATCTCATCCAATGTCCTACCAACTAGAGGTCTCCGCCCATGAGATCGTCTCTAGCGCCCATTGCAAGCCTTACTTGGTTTGACACCTGCAACAACAATTTTCGTGGACAAGGAGAGGTTAAAAAGACGAGGGAAATCAAGTGACAAAAGGTTACAACCAAGCCACTGATCCTGCCAAAATTTGATCCTAGACCCACCTCCAAAATTCCATTTAAGATCCCCATTGAAACACACAGCTGCTCTAATCACTAGCATTTGCGATTGATAAGATGTCCTTCTGGTAAGTACAAACTCTAGTAGACACGGTGTTGATCTTAAGTGTTTGTTCTATTGGTAAACAAATGTTATTTTATATGTTAAGTCTCGAGTTTAAGTGTTGGAATCAACATCCAAAAAAATTTATTTTCTTGAATACATAAGGCCATTATAAGGGGAGCACTCTTAAAATTGTCTAGCAAGGAATTAGTCTTGCCCAAAAAATAGTTCATATACACTCTCATTGTCCAAACTAGAAAAAAAAAAAAAAAAGTAGATAAGATGGTTTTTATAGCCGTAAGCTGAGACCGCCCAAAACATTTACTCAAAATAAGTTTCTTCCAGAGACTGTTATTACCAATTTTAGTAGAGGACCAATCCACCATTTCCATAGAAGGCTAATAATTCTAATGAATAAAATTGGAATGCCTAATCCACCCTTAGTTTTTTGCAGACGAAAACTCTTTGCCAATGGAGAAAAAGAATTTTATTTTGATTCTCTGAACCTACTCATAAGAAATTCCTCTGAATACTAATAATTAGATCACACAAAATACTCTTTGAAATTTTACATATAGAAAAAAAAAAAAATAGAGTGGAAGTGCAAAGAGAATAGAGGTAAAGAGAGTACTACGATCTTTGAATGACAAAAGTTTTTCCCCAATTTGAATTGAACTTCTCAACAATGGGCCTGCAAAAGCTTAACATTTACAATTCATCAGTGAATTTGCTACCATATTTATCCAAGCTTTATCAACTATTTATATTGTGAATAAAAGCTCAACTCATTTATGTATTGTGAACAAAACTAGTTAAGTTGTTCATTAGCAAGTCTCAATAAAAACTCCGCAAAAGCTTACCGGCGACTTTGATTTAGTTACTTATAGTTTGGGCTAAATGCACATATAGTTTTAAGGTTTTAAAATTTGTAGATAACATTTTTGTGATTTTGAGTATGTTCTAAGAAAAACTTAAGTTATTAAAATGTGTATATAAACATTTGAAATTTACACTAAGTGCAAATAATTACTTGAAATTAGGGGTGTTTGCGGTGTAGTTTGATTCAAATTTTAATATTTTTTAAACCAATTCAATTTAATCGGTTAATAAAATTTTTAAACCAATCCAATCCACTATTATATGATAACCAAACCAATTCAACTTAAATTGGATCAGTGTGGTTCGGTCGATTGATTGGTTTTTAACATTATTAAATATATGAAATAATGTAAAAATATTTTAACATCAAATAGAAAATATAGCTATAAAACACATTAACATGCAAATTAGTAAAAAACATAATAAAAAAAATTATAAACGAGTTCTTATACTACTTTATATTTGTAAAAATTGAAAAGATCTGAAAATTTCTCTTGGTTATATCATTAAAGGCACCAAGAATAATAAAAGATGACTTCAAGTTTCTAACACAACGTAAATAATTCTTAAAGGTTAAAATTAGTTTTTTTTTCTTAATGCACTAATAATTTAATCCAATCTTCTAAATCTTGTTAAAAGTGAATAAAATTCAACATGAATATTACTAAAATTGATTAGAAGCATTCATAATCAAAATTCAAAACTTCTAAACCAAATATTCAAGAATAATAAAATATCAAGACTAATTTTATTATATAGTTTTAAGACTCTTAAAATGATACTTATATACTTATTTAAAATTTAGTTAGGAGAATTATAAGATTATTTTAAGAATAAACTAGAAATTTAGAGTTCTACGAGTAAAGGCATAAATCAGTTTTGAAAAGATAGAGTTATAAGTGAATTAGAAATTTAGAATTAGGGTTAGAGTGTATGATTAAAATGGAAAAATAACTTAGGGAGTATGAGGATGTTTTATTTTTATTTTTTAATTAAGTTAATGGAGTTATTATCTTGTAAAATAAGAAAAAGAAATTTTAAAATACTATAAAAAATATTATATTATTTAATTAAGTTATCTTGTAATTAGATTTTATTTTGTAATCGGATAGTTCGGGCAGTTTGAAGGTAAAACCACAAACCAAACTAATTATATCGGTTTTAAAATTTTATAATTCAAGCCTACCCAATTTTTTATTGGATTGAATCAGTTTAGATTAGATAAATCAAATTGGATCAGATATAAACACCTTTACTTGAAATGTCCTGAAGGTACCTAACGTAAAAAAATAAGAGAAGAAGAAGAATAAGGGTACCTAAGACATTTCATATAATCTCAGGTGGTTAAAACATGCACCAAATACAAACTACATGTGCTCATGTTCACATTTTAAAATCTTAGATATTTTTATGCACTTATCTTTAACTACAAGTATATTATATATACATTTTAAAATCTCAAATTTTTATATATGTCAAACACAAATAGCTAATTTACTACTAATTGAGTGAAGAAATAAACAATCTCTATTCCTAAAGTAAAAAAAGAGAACAAATTAAAAAAAAGAAGAAGAAGAAGAAGAAAGAACTAAATGAGCATAACCTTGATTTAGTTTAACTATGTGCACTTGTAAAAAGGATTGGTTCAAATAACAATACAAAAGCGTGAACACGAACTTGCTAAACTAAACAAGTTATTTTGAGCAAACTTTAAGCAGTTGAGCCTAATTAATTACCGAGGCTTCTTAATTCATAAACAATTTAAGGTTAAGCTTGAAGACGAGCTTAAATTTCAAGATGCCCAGGTTCTTCTTGTTTTGGGAAATTAATGTTTAAATAAGTATGTTAAAGCTGCAATTAGATATTGAATATTATTGTAAATGGTCACAAAGAATTCACATATTTTGAGAAAAATTCTAGAATATTTTAAGTGAGAAAAATCCCACATCGATCCAATCCTATGGAGGATATTCTCAACTTCTTTGGCACTATAAACACAATACACCTCTGCAAATTTTTCAAACAATTTCAAGTTGTATGTCTTTTATTTGAGTACGTTAAGATTTTTAAAGTGATAATGAAAAATATTTGAATTAAAATAATTTGATATATTTGTTCCCACTTAATAAAATTGTAAAAACTCTCATCATATTCAAAATTATCAATCACCAATCAATTTACTTTAAAAACTAAAAATTTAGGCCTAGGGTTTCTCGTCCTTTCTGATATAGAAACTTAAAATTTTTGGTTTTTGGTCATTCTTCACCAAAAAACTAAAGTATTTCTTGATTTAGTATTTTAGGGTGTGCGAGATAAGTGTTGAGAGTAGCATAAGTATGGATGATTAAGCACCTAAATTAAAATATATTTACCATTTTACTTTCATAATATTAATTCATAGCGTTGTTCATATTCAATTTATACCGATTGATTCAATTGAAACTAATTCAATTTATTTAAAATATAATTTAAATTGATGTCAATTTAAATTGGATTGATTGGATTATAAAATTTTAAAATCGATATAAATAGTTTAATTTATGATTTTATTTTTAAATCAATCAAACCTCCAAATTAGAGAATAACTTAATTAAATAATATAATATTTTTATTTTTATATTTTTTTAGTAAATATATTTTTAGATATTTTGGTAAAATAAAAATATAATAAATTTTTAAAATTTTTATTTCTGTATACAAATTGTATTTTAAATTTTCATTTCTTGTTTTACTTTTTTTATTTCTTTAGTATATTATTTTTTTTGTCATTTTAACATAATATTTTTTTGATAAATCATTTTAATGTAATATTAATTGTATTAACTATCATTTTTAATTTTTAATTTTTATATTATAATTGTATAGCATAATTTAATTAAAAAATAGTGTTTTCCCCTATACAAACAAAAGTTTTACTCTCAGAACTTTTTACTTTTGAATAATAACAATGTGGGTTTACATATCTTGGTGCCTTATTAGCTCTTATTTTTTTTAATTGTGTTATCAATAGTTTGATACTTTGATTTTTTTACCTAATTAAATATATTTAAAATAATATTAAAAATTGATTAATCCAACTGAACCACACCAATCCAATCTAGATTGAATTGATTTGGTTATAATATAATAAAAAATTGGATTAATTTGTAAATTTTACTAACAAATTAAATTAGTTTAATTTTAAAAATATTAAAATCCAATCCGATCTATACCACGATAACCCTTATTAATTCACTTCATAATTTTTAGGCTATGAATGTGATGAATGTAAGACAGTACAGAGTTGAGGAAGCTCTTGTACCTTCTAGGCTTCTTTTTTTAGCATCAACAATAAGTTGGTAATTTCCTTTTTCATTCTATTTTGAATTTTTCTATGCTGTAGGAATTTATTTAACCATTTTAAATGACCAATATGAAAGATATGGAGTTTGCTCTTTAAGAGTTACTGGCAACTGATTTATATTTATGAATTTCAATCTTTTGTTCTATGATTCATTGACTTTAATACTTCTGAATTCCTTTTCCTAGTCGTAGACTAAGAATTTTGAGCGATCCCAAATTGTTTTCCATCATGCTTAAGTTAAAATATGCATGAAACGTTTGCATTTTTAGCTTTTCATTATTTTGATGTTGCCAGCAAGTATTTACTTTTCTGATAGATTTTGTCAAGAAATTTGGAAAACTTGATATCCTTATATTATTAAAATTCTTTAAAACCCCATAACTGTCTCCTTATCTATTTTTTTGTGGTATTATAGGGATAACATTTTTATATCACATTTTCATACAACTTTTACATGTCATTAAATGAGTAGATACATTCAATATCATCGGTTCTATGTGAATTAAAAGAATAAATCATTTTAATGACACGTTAAGTTGTATAAAAAGATGAGATAAAAAAATTGTACAAAAATTATTTCCCTATCTCTTTTTATTTTCTTTTCCATCCACATTTAATGAATACTGAATAATTTTGAAATCCCAATCGTCTGCAGGTGAACCATTTCATAACAGATGGTGATACTTCGAAAGCTGCTGTTAATAAGGCAAATCTTCTGCGCAGAATTCTTTCATTTAATTTTATGCCACAAAAAAAATAAAGCCTGTTCAAAGACAATTGTGCTTTTAGAGTTGATGCATTAATTAGAAAGTTTACTCTCAGAGTTGTTATTAATTCAATTGAGAGCGCTAATTAACTAGAGTGAAATGGAAGGTAAACTTGTGGAAATTATTTTTATTGTTTTAAAATAAAGTTCATTTTAGAAACATAACCACTAACCTTAGTGACCTATAGTGAGATGGTTTCTCCATACAGTTTTTTCTTCATTCCTTTTCTCCAATCTTGGTTCAAAATCACAATTTGCTAC